ACGCTCCTTGCTGTTCGGGATCTGGTCGTGTTTTTTTCAACGTTTCCACACTGTTGTGAGTATTTTACTCTAGTACACCATTAAGCGTTGTATTGTATTGCGTTTTTTATGGAAGTAAATGTATGCTGTTTAAAAACCTCACGATTGCTGAACAAGAAAACGACACATTCATATTCCAATGCCGAGGTTAAGAGAAAGTCGATCCTGGGAGCTCTACTGTTTTTCGAATTTCTGCGCTCTTTCGCTTTGCCTACTAATTTTCGTATCTTACATCCGTACTCGGTGTACTTAGCCAACTTTGAACAGATTTTAAAGTCACTGCCTTTCTGCTCAACTCTTCCAACGATTTATTGAGGTCGACACTTACTCACCATGCATTTGGTAAGTATAGCGGACAGAGCTGGACAAGCTGGTTACTGTAGAAATCGTCCAACTATTATTTTATGTCTATTCTTTTTTCATGGCAGGGTGTGGTGTGAAATGGAACCATTGGAATGATGAGAAGTTGATTTCTGATTGTTGATGGCAATGTAAAAAGTTGGCTTAAGGAAAGGCAAAGCAAGCACACCGGCTGGTACAATAAGTAGCAGGAGAGCCCTGGAAAGGACTGTTGTCGGTTCAAAGCCCACTTAGAATTCCAAGTGTTGCTCATATCTCAGCATCCCTATGAGTGTATAAAATGTCTCCAATTTATTCTTGCGATAAAAGAAATAAAGTGCTTGGCATAGTCCAATATTCCAGAGAGTCGCATCTTGCATTGGACTCTATTTGACTCCATCACAGAGTGATTGAATACACATTTGATGTATATCCTCACTTGTGGTGATCCATTGATGTGCCGAGTAATGTTTTTTTTCACGATCAAGTAAGGCATCAATTTTCCAATTTTGGTTTGGTAGAGGCTTTGGTTTGCCGGAGCACGAAATTGGACCAAAACTCGTCTCAATTTCGAGTTGGCATTCGTTTATGCACGTGCTAGATCTTTTACAAGGTTCCTTTGCTTCAACAGTTTTTGTTCGGTCCTTCTTTTGAAACTTTATTTGTAATCGCTCCGATAAGTGTCTTTAAAACACTTTTTCTCAGCTAACTGGTAACCAGTTTTAAGGTATTGTCGCGGGTTAAAGATTGCTATTTCTTTACAGTGTCTAGATTTACAACATCACCTTCAGCTTTCGGTGCTTATTACAATATGCATGAATGGAATCCGTTGCTCACGATGAAATTATTGCACAAGGGGCACTTTCAGAATTGCAGGTGACAGGGACGAAAACTTCTCAGGGGAACCTGTTACTTATAATTATATCCATGTTCTCCTTTAGTGTATATGTACTCTTCACTAGTATCGCGTTTACATACTCGATTCATGTCTGTTCATTTTACTAGCAAACATACAGTCAGATTGGTGTGTAGTTTCAGCTGCGACATGGTGACCTATCGTTTCTTCTCTTATCGATACGATGATTGTCGATTAAGGGTAATTTCCACCTAGATATAATTCTGACCTAGTGGACATTTCCAGATCGTCGACAAAGGCAGTCGTTAGCATCTGAAACAAATAGGCGTGGAAGTTTGATGCCTTAGAAGAAGGAATCATTCAGAACTACAACGGTTCCTACGATAAACCCTAACCATCTTAGTCCAAAAAAAGTGGCGACGTCATCTGTTAGCCAGTAGTCTTGGAAGTGTCCGTGTATTCAATAAGTACCTAGCAACAGTTCCACTATAATTCTAAGTGCTCCAACTTCGTATAGCGTAGACAATTCGTAAAAACTACTTAAGATGCGGACTTTTTTCACACATGTAACTTTCATCCTATTTCATTCAATGTTTCGTTCTGTCATGTTTGTTAACAAAAGGTTTCTTAGAGATAATCATTAATTTACTATCTAGCGATCTGATTATTAGTAGGAAGATCTATTTTTCGGAAAAGAAAAAAGAGGTCCTGTTCCACCTCTACTGGCTATCGATTTGCGATCGTCATTCGTTATCGGTTTTCCATGTTTCAAGGCCTCGAGTTTGTCTGACGCTAAGCGAAACGATTGACTAAATTTTTGTTGAAATAGTAAATTCTTGAAACGAATTGAACAAAGAAGGCGAATTGTAGTTTCTTAGAGAATAACTGCGATGCTATGTTTAACGTGCCAATGAAATTTTTTTCTTTTATGCGGAACTACCCTTAACTAGTGAAGTCCTCAATAATGCAGTTTTTTTTCAACAAAGAGGTCATAACGTTTGTAATGCACGTTCTTCATATTTGTGAGAAGATGACAACCATAGTCATCGCTACAAAGTGATGATTGGAAAACTAAAATATAACGCACTTGTGAAAAGGGACCGACAGGGATAAAAAGAGGAAACGAAGCAAGGACTTCTGAATAACATGCTGTAAAGTGCAGCAAATCTGTCTTCTGACAGCTTCCAAAGATTTTGTAGAGTTTTATTCGCTATGAGTATTTTTGGCTGCGAAAAGATTTTATCCATTCACGGAAAACTTTTTTAAATTCATATTGCTGCTTAGCACCGTAGTTTTTCGAAATTTCCTTTATCCTATGGATTTACGAAAGCCTTCATCCTTCTACAGGTTTTGTACACATTAACCACTGCACCTTTGAGACCAATTATAGAGTTTCGATTTTCATGATTAAAGAATTCTCTAACTATCAGAGACGATTTTCAATTAACCTCGGGATGGATCAATAACTGGCTTTTTTCTTGCTGAACACATCCGAGGTTGCTATTACAATATTTATTCCAATAGCTGATATTTCGGCGGATTTCGTCTTTTTCATACCATGAAAAGTTAAACTGATACGCAATCTGCCTAGCAAAACGCTTTCATAATCCAACCAGAAATAAGTTTTTTCGGGTAATAAATGTCCGCTGTTGTGAACAAATATTATAGTAGTAAGCTGTTGTTTGGTTATCAGGGAAACAATGAAACATTGCAACGATGCTGAGATAACCACAACGTTGCTGAGATATTTGCAAAACTCTGGACCGCAGGTGTCTATGGTGGGGAACGAACGTGAGAGACAGGCGAAACGAAGGACCCGCATGATGTGGTGGTGAACGCGTTACTCCCCGGAAAGGACAATAGCGCGTTCGTTCCCCACCATAGACACCTGCGGTCCAGAGTTTTGCAAATATCTCAGCAACGTTGTGGTTGTATTTCGCTTAGTACCCTGCGGCGAAATTATAGTAGGCAGAAAATAAAAAGGTATAACATGATGCTGAGATATTTGCAGAAGTGCTGATGTCAGATGTCTGTGGTGGGGAACGAACGCGTTATTACCCTTTCCGGGGGCTAGTGCGTTCACCACCACACCATGCTGGTCCTTCGTTTCGCCTATCTCTCAGCAAACTATTTTACTAGCGTGGCGCATTGCTAAAGATGTTTACAACCTTTATTTATTCATTTCCTACTTACTATGCAGCATTTCTTGTATTCATTGACTTTTGTTCTTTTCGAATCAGCAGCGTTATTAACGTAGTTCTATTTCATGGCTTTAATAACATCCTTTCTTGCCAATTTCATACAATCATTTCTATCCAATTTTTTCGTCTTTAGGATTAATTTTTATTTGTATTTAACAGTGCGGGAAAGTCCTGCATTCATTTCTCGTCCAAGTAAAACTTTATTATTTCAAACATGATCGTATTGCCTCTTTTCTCTTCCTGATTTTATTCCGTGAATACTCATAAAGTTCACTGCACTAAAGATTTAGTTGTTCTTCATGCCTTTAACTCTTTAATATCTCGGTGTGCTGTTCCTGTTTTTCTTTTCCTTCCTTCTTTCTTAAACTCTCCAGTAAAGTTATTTTCCCAGCTAGAATGTAATGAAATCTTTTCTTCAGCTATGGGCCAAAAAGGAGCACCAACGGAAGAGACCAATCCAACATTAACAGGTTATCGATCAGTTACTAGTTTTTATTAGTATTTAATTCTTACCAGTCTTAATTTCGTGAAGGATACTCGGTTAAAACCGACTCTTTGGTTTCAGAGAACCCTTCGAGGGCGTTTCAGTGATGCGAAAAGTGGAAAGCTCTCGTAAATAGTGCAAAGCAAAGTTTATTTTGTGATGATGAAGCCAAATGGGTTGAAGTTATAGAAGCCCCAGTGTTGACCACAATTTCCTAGGGATGGCGGCTATTGGATCCAACTTATAGCACCGTAGAGGTGACTGAATGAGCGTTTTGCCTCTACAATTACCTCATTGGGACCTACCGATGTGTAATATCGAACGAAGATCGATCTCTGTCATCAGCAATGACCCGTCAGAACTAGCTGAGAGACAGGCGAAACGAAGGACCCGCATGGTGTGGTGGTGAATGCGTTGCTCCCTGGAAAGGACAATAGTGCGTTCGTTCTCCACCGCAGACACCTGCAGTCCAGAGTTTTGCAAATATCTCAGCATCATTGAAGCTGTATTTCGCAATATACCCTGCCAATAAAAAGAGTAGGAAGTAAACAGTGAGTTGAAATCCCGATATTTCCAACCTTCCCAGACAGGTCTACTACCACGCCGACCCGCAAAGATGAAACGCATAATTTTTTGGAGTGAGATCGAACCAAGGACTTTGTGAGCATTTCAGGGTAACTTTAATCACTGTCTGCGCACTACTTATAGAGGTTTGCAAAAAGCCATGTTGTATGTTTATAAGGCAGTTATGTTTGGAAGAATTCAGCATTGAGGTAGTGATTACGACATGGTTTTGGGACACGACTTCTTTGTCGCTTCGCGTAGTCAGCATCCTCCCAACGGTCTACCGCCTCATCGTGAATGCAAAGTGTTCCTGGGTGTGGGCAGCGATGTTCACGCGGAGACTCATCGCCCGGCAAGGTCTCCTAAGCTGAGAAGGTGTCCGGTGCTTCCATCAGAAAGCACAATAGCTAAGAGTAAGCCAATACCAGGATCCACCACCGTCCTGAAATTAAACTAGTCGCATGGCGGCAAATCCTCTATGTGATCCACAACGGTGGCAACTGTTATTGGTGATGACCACCTGGAGCAAACTTGCCCAGGCTTACCTCGGGACTCCAGAAAAACACAATGGCTAAATTAGCAAACCTCCGAAAAATGAAGAATATGCTGGAGCCCGTAGAACCAGTGAGGACTGGCCGTCCAACTATCCAAGTAGGTAGTCACCATTGGAGATTTCGCGCGAGGAAAGTTTCTTGCAAACATAGTGTTTTGCATAAGTTGTCGATTGAGCAGAGAAATTCTAGCGGTTAAACTTTTTTTCAGAAACGGAACCAGATCGCGGTCAATGGTCAGGGAAGCTGGATTTTTTGATGAGTATGATAGCGTATGCTGTTGGACTCGGTAATTTCATTTCCAAGAATTGAATCGAATTTTAAAAAAATCACACTTCTGCTTTTACTTGACAGAATGTCCTTTTTTGAACAGGATTTTCGTTCCTTGGAGAGTCAAAGGTTCTGGCAGGGTTTTCTCATGTTCTTGCCACTGTCATGGTAGGGACTGTGTTGTCATCAAAATGAAAGAATAGCAAGCATTGATTTATTCTCAGCTACGCTTTCATATGGAATTATCGAACTCGAGTGACCATTTATTTTCTTTGCTTTGCATTATAGTTTTTCACAATTCCATTTCGAATGACAGAAATACGTTCCAACTATGATAGAAATAGTACACTATTAATAGGAATACTTACTTGGATACTTGGATGGCCCGCCCTGACTGTTTCTACTGATCCCAGCATAATCTCCATTTTTTTTTTTGAGTTTTGATGGTATATTCATTGTGGTTCTCTGGAGTCTCAACGTCACACAGGCCAAAGTCTGCCTCAAGTCGTCACCACCACCAGTAGTGGCCATCGTTGTGGATTAGGAGGTTTGCCACAATGCGACTAGTTTAGTACCAAGACGGTGACGGATCTTGGCATTGGTTTACTCTTAGTTGTGCTTCCTGATGGAAATTCCGAACTTCTTCTCAGCTTGGGAGACTCTGCCAGTGGGATGATTTCCAGGCTGTACATCGCAGCCCGACACTTTAGGAACACTTCCCGGCAACTATGCAGCGGTAAATCGTTGGGAGGATTAGTGGGAATAGCAGCAATGTTTCTGTATGATCAATTATCATAGGGAATATTAAAAAGTTGATTTTCGGCAGTTCTAGAGGCTATCAGTTCTATTATCCATTAAGGTCTAAACTGTTCAGAATATAATAAATCAGATTTCGGCGCATCAGAATCAGCAGCGTTTACACCTTAATGGATCGAAACACGCAACAGCTCTTCCTTTTTTCCATTCTTTTTTTCAAATCCGTCATTTACACAGCCGTCGGATATACGTCTATTTTGGCTGCTATTTGGTGGTTTTTGTTCTCATTCATTTCATTTGGTTGTTCTTCACGGATCTCTTTGAATTCTAGTCGAGTTGAATCGTTGTGGAATCCCGGAATAGCTATACCTAAGCTTCTACATGTCTTTGCCAAACGCAGCCGCCGGACTTTGTGGATTAGAAAAAATCTTCCCCGGATAAGTCTGGCACCGGTGTACCGATTTCAGAGAAGTAGCTGGCTTGGTGGCGGAGTCCAACCACCGACCAAGCATGAATTACTACACGGCACTCTTCTCTAATAATTGCGCTTCCTGTGTTCCAGCTATAACCTAAGTCGCCATTACTAACAATAACCGTGCAGGTTGAAATCATTTCTGCTTTATTCAGGAAATGTGTGGCGTTTTCCGTACTTGTGTTTCAAAAACGGTGGCGGTTCATTTTTGGTTGTGTATGCGATTTTCTTCTGTTTGGCTGCTGTACCGATTTTTATTATGGAGGTTACAATTGGTCAATACTTGCAAAGAGGTGCTATGGAAATGTGGAAGATGTGTCCGATTTTTAAAGGTAACGCCAATTGTACAACAATGAAATAATGAGTCTAAATATTTTATCCTTTATTTTCTTTCTTCCGAGTTTTTTACTTCAACTGTGTCGTTTTTAACCTAATCATAGTCGTTGCTTATAAAATTCGGCGGATTAAAAGGTGACGATGTATTCAGTAGATGTAACATTTGCTAATAAGATGATTATCATTCACATCTAATGGTTCAACATTTCAATAACGTTCATAGTTCAAAAAAAACTTTCCTACCAAAATATAACCATTCTTCAGCGATATTAAAATCAACATGAAGTGAGTTAAAGGCGAGGCGATACAGTCTGGCCAAAATCATCTACCACCATCCTCGAGAACGTAATGCGAGCACTGGAATGAGACAACAGAGTGGAAATCGATGTTCGCCCATTATACCATTTTCGCTTTGCTTATGACATCGTTTACATAACACGAAGCGTTAGCCACGGAAACGAATGCTTGCGGGCTTTGATAACACTTGTGGAAAGATTGGTCTTCGACTAAATCTCATGAAAATGATGAGTAACGGAGTGGTTTCGTACGCTCATTTATACCCAGCGGAACGATTATGTCCGAATGCTCCAGTTATATGTATCTAGGTTGGAAAATCAATATGATGAACGACCCAGCTCCAGAGCTGAGCAGAAGGAAACGAGCGGCTTGGGGAGCTTTCAAGATCATCGAGGATGTAGTGAAGAGAACAAGGAACACCTGATTCCGTGCCTACCTTTTCGAGTGAACGGTATTCCCTGCCCTAATGTACGCGTCAGAAACCTGGTCGCTGCGTAAGCAGGATGAAAGGTCACTCAGCGTTATCGAACGCGCAGTCGAGAGGACGATGCTAGGACTAATCCGTTCCACACAAGTAAGGGATGAGATCCGAAGCTCTGATCTGCGTCAACGTTTAAAAATCAAAGTTGCCGTTCTGTACGCCTAAGTCGGGAAATCAGCGTAATGAACGACTTAGCTTCAGAGCAGAGCAGAAAAAGCGAGCGGCTTGGGATGCTTTCAAGAGAATCGGTGATGTGGTGGATTGAACAAACAACATCCAATTCCATGTCTACGTTTTCGACTCCATGATACTTCCTGCCTTAACGTATGAGTCAGAAATCCAGTCGCTACTTAAGCATAATGAGCGACCACCCAGCGGTTTAGAAAGGACAGTCGAAATGTTCGATGATAGAAGTACTATACAAGCGAGAGAGGAAATCCGAAGTTCCGACCTACTCAGCGATCAAAAATAGGGGACTTAGTTCCACACGCCAAAATTTGAAAGATAAAAGGGCCGGACATGTGATTCATCGGAACGACAACCGTTCAAGAACAACGATGAATGACTGGGGATGTCAAACACGCAGCAAAAAGACCACCGCCCCGATGATCGAAACTGTTTGCGAACAGTACAAAAGAACACTGTGGTGTTCAATGGGTCTCCAGAGCGAGCACATCCCACTGGGCTACTCTTGAATGTAGCAGAATGAAATAGAATTTACTAGCGTTCCTCGAGTTGCTCGACAATCAACAGGGTAGCAGGCGATAAAGGTAATTTAACGCTTTCGGAGATGTTAGTGACAATCAGTGCCCTTATTAATGAAGGAGGATAATATTGTCTTGCTACTGAAAGATGATACCAGTCCTCTCCTTCGTTTTTTTTCTTCTTCTTCTGCCAGTAAACAGTTGCTTCAAGTATGACTGATTTTTTAACGAGCAACACGTGAAACTTGACTATGTGAATCACCGGAACACAAAAAATGCTGATAGCATAGACGTTCGCTTGCACAATGCAGTGGAGAAGCGCTGGATATTGCTCATACCTCAAGAAACAATCTTCATAGCAAATATATGGCCATCTTTTTTCCAATCAATAATAGTGATTTTGAAGAGAACTACGTTAGAGGGGTATTATCATAGTTTTACCCAAGAATTTCGTTTATTCGCCAACCACAAACAGATGGATATTTTGAAACGGAGGGGTTCCAACCAATCACAGAGCCAGGCACATGGGCATCATTTGAAAGGAATTTGATGTGTGCTGTCTTCTTAATTCATATAAGAAACGTTAAAGATTTCTGTATGTTCTTGTGGGAAGGTAAGAAGCAGCAGGAGTAATAGAAGCGCCAAAGTGATTAATGTATGTCATTCTTATCTTTTAGTTGCAAAATGTATGGGTACAAAGACACTTTCTTTTGACGAAGGATTTATGAAGGGAATGCGTACTTCTGAATCGGAATAGGTGCCAACAAATCCAATGAGAATCCTTCCGAAATCAACTAGTACGGAATTTCTTTAAAGGCAGAGAATCTAAGAAGTTCCCAAGATCGACTTTCTCTTAACCTCGGCATTGGAATATGAATGTGTCGTTTTCTTGTTCAGCAAGAGGTTTTTAAACAGCATACATTTACTTCCATAAAAACACAATACAATACAATGCTAGCTGACGTTTCGGCAGTATCGCCTTCTTCAGAGCCGCTTTTTCGTGACTTCCAATAAGGAAGTTTAGAACAGCTGATTATAGTCGCATGTGGTTGACGACTCAAAAACCTCGCGATTGCTGAACAAGAAAACGACACATTCGTAATCTAAGAAGTTTTGTTTACTTATGAAGTTCAACTCTTCACTGGTGAATGAAACTTAAAGGATAAATAAAAGGATAAAGCTCTCGGTGTTGATCAATTCCTGAGGGATGCGCCATGCATTCGACTTCATTGAGTATCGTTGGAGGTGATTGAATGCATATCTGGCCTTTACAATGACCCACGGTAGAGTACCGATGTATCAAGTCAGTGCTGCTATCCTCCCAGACAAGTCTGTTACCAATTTGCCGACCCCGAAGAGATGGAAGGCTTGGTGGGCCATGGGCGCGGGAGTCGATTCCACGTGCGTGTGGCAGTGGCGCCTCCAACGGCTGCGCCACACGCGCCCTTAAATGAAACTTAGTGGACTAATTCTCTATGAAAACTCGAAACTCGAAGAATATTAGTGACAGAGCTTCTTCTATGTTCTCTTTTAAAACCGTATTCTGAGGAGAGTTTCGAGTTTACCATCGAAACTTTTTTTGCCCGTAGAACGTGATGAAGAGAGGAAGGAATGAGCAGAAATATGGACATCGCCGCAAGTTTCATTTATTGTTTAAGAATAAGAATTGTTAAGCATCATATTTATTGCATTTACTTTTCCAGGAGTTGGTATTGGCAATGTGGTGATCGCTTTTATGTGTATAGCCTATTTTTGTGTGATTATTAGCTGGGCGATCTTCTACATGATTTCCTCGTTTCATAGCGTTTTTCCGTGGGAATCCTGCGATAACTATTGGTGAGCGACTTTTTAAACATTTCGAAGCCTCTCTTTATGTTCAAAAAAGTTATTTACTTGAATACTTGGACGGTCCGTCTTCACGAGCTATGCGGGCCCCAGCACATAGCCATTCGTTCCCTTCTCTCGCAATCGTAGTCCATGGTGGTGTTCTTATAGCGCTTGCGAGTCTCATGCCGTGATCTGTAAAACAACTGCAGCTGCGGGTACAGCTGATTAACTTTGTTTATGAACTCGTCCGCCCAACGTGTAGGTGGTCGTCCAAGAGGACGTTTGCATCCTCTTGGAGTCCACTCTACTGTTCTTTTCTCCCATCTGTGGTCTGTTCTTTTCATTATGTGACCGGATCATCTATGTTTCGCTATCGATGTTTATTCTTCTGGATTTCGAAGGTCAGAGCTTCGCATTCCGGCTAGATATTGAGAGCCTCGGTTATACTTCAGATGACATCGCTCAAGCGCTCTGTGAGTAGTGCAAAGCATTCTTGACGTAGTTGAAGTATCAGCCCACGTCTCTGCAGCATAACAGAGCGCTGGCAGAACCGTAGAATGAAAGAAATGAGCGCGGATTTTCGGGTCCTTCAGTTGGTCGGTGGCTTCTTTTAGAGGCCCGAATGCGGCCCAAGCTGCTCTCCTTCTTCTATCTAGTTCTTCGCTCATGTTGTCTTCCATGTTCATTGATCGCCCAAGGTAGACGTACGAGGTGGTCTCTGTAATGAGAGAGCCATCCAATTCAATTTCTTCGCCTTCGCGCCATGGGTTTTTCATGAGCTGGGTCTTCTTTCGATTTATGCGAAGTCCGATCTTTTTCCCTACTTCGTTGAGCTCGATGATCATCACTTCTGCTTCGCTAGTATTTTTTGAGAAGATGACAATGTCGTCGGCAAAATGAGGGCTTGATAGGAATTTTCTGTCAATACGTATGCCTTTCTCATCTCAATCGAGTGACTTCATTATCCACTGCAGTGGAGCACTGAACAGCTTTGGCGATATTGTGTCGCCTTGTCGAACCCCTTTTCCTATGGGCATTGTAAGAGGCCGATGGAAAAGCTGCATTTTCGTAGTGCAGTTTTGATAACAGTCGGACAGAGTCCTTATGTAGGACGGGTCCACTCCTTGGTTGACGAGCGCTGATAGGATTGCATTCGTTTCGACACTGTCAAACGCTTTCTCATAGTCGACAAAGGTTAGGACTAGAGGCAAGTGGTATTCCCGACAAACTTCGATGACCCGGACATGGTTTGGATGTGGTCCATGCAGCAAAATCCTTTTCGAAATTCTGCTTGCTCGACTGGTTGTGCCTCATCCAGTGTCCTTGATATGCGCGAGAGGATAATCTTCGTGAAGAGTTTGTAGAGTACACTTAACAAGCATATGGGACGGTGTTCAAAAAATAGTGTGTCAAATCGGTATTTTGGCGCAAATCATCGAAATATTTGCTCCTCATGGTGTAGAACTGACCCAGGTGGGTACGAAGCCAAGAAATTGGGAATGATTTTTGCAAGCAGAAAGTATTATTTTGATAGAGGACAAAGGTAGTTGTACGCATTTTTGCTCTCTACAATAACCATCAGTGACATAGTGATGTACCGGCTAAATGTTCTTATCCTCCTTGATAACTGTGATACCAATTTGCCGAACCTGGACAGATGAAAGAAGCGCTTGTTTAGCGGGCACGGAATCGAACCAAGGATGTGTAGTGCAGGACACCTTCAACCACGGCGATGTCTGCCTCCGTAACTTGTATAAAGAAACGAAATGGTCTGCATCACCCGTAATCTCGTTAGTCAACAAATAACTTGTGAGAGCAAATCTACTCCATTGCTCATAATGGGCTGAACTCGTTCCGGAACACGACCACCATCATGTATTTGCATAAAGTTCTATTTTTCGCGGTATCACAGTAAAAATGGCAACATACAGTTCACCGTGCAAACCTGGGGCTAGATTAACATTTATTTACATCTACGTATGGAAATCTAGGACTCACTTTAGTCAGAGACCTTTCGGAGAATGAAGTTCAGCCGAACGAAATATTTTGACATCAAGGAGCATAGTCCATCCACGATGACGGACTAAATCGAGATAAAAAAATTATCGAACAAATTTTATAAATTTAGGAATGATAACACTTGTGTAACGGGAAGGGAAAGTTCGTTGGCGTTAGCGAGAATAGCGAAAAACCTTTCCCGTTCTGGTGCACGAACACAAACCTCTGTGGAACAGTTTTGGGAGTAAGTCCTCTTTACAACGAAACAATTTATAACATAAATGTTTTCTTTGTGACAATGAAAGACGGATAAAACAAAGAGGTCAAACAAAAGAGCGGGAAATCACTGCTTACCGTACCAATGTAGAGATAACTGGAAAGAACTTGTTACATTACTGACGAGGACATTCATCGTCGTCCAAAAAGACAGTCAACCGTTAAGTAAGATAAGCAAAATTTTGAATGTCATTTGTTACTTTGAATTATCTGTTTTTTTTTTACCATAACTAAGTGTCTTCAGACGTCGTGTACTACAACAAACGAGCTCGATCGACGAATTTGGTAGTATTCAGTGGGAATTGCTGGCGATTATGTTTCTTTCGTGGCTTATCGTCTACTTTGCTTTGTGGAAAGGAATTACACAGGCTAGAAAAGTGGGATCTTTTTCGAAGAACTTTTCTACAAAGATCAACTGCAGTATAAAGAAGAAGTGAAAGAGATGCTCAAGTAGTTATATGAATTTCGACTCTTTCCGTGGTCGTCACCGATGGTGTAATCGCGAGTGCACCATAGAATAGCGGAATCTGCCACAATAATGAAATGCTCTAATGTTGACCTTTTATTTACTTTCTTTTATAAGTTTTTACGCCACAGTATTATTTGTGAAATAACCACAATGTTGCTGAGATATGAAAGACAGGCGAAATGAAGGACTCGCACGGTGTGGTGTGGTGTGGTGGTGAACGCGCAACTCTCCGGAAAGGATAATAGCGCGTTCGTTCCCCACCGCAAACACCTGCTGTCCGGCGTGTTGCAGATATCTCAGCATCATTGTGGTTGTTTTATGAAATGCTCTAAATTGCGAAGGGCGGCGTTTTTACATGTCATAAAATAAGTATAGTATAGCTTTTCCGTTGTCACTTGAATGAGATTTTTTCCCGTTGTTCTTTTCTTAGCGAAAAATTTTGCACTATAATTAGTTCGAAAGGGTCTAAGAGATCTTGTTGTGCTTTCACATAGTGTTTGGAAAATTTCTACACGCGACTTTCTGAACTCGTCCAGAATAGACATAGGGAAAGCTCTCTTAATACGCCACTTGCACGAAAAAGCGATCAACCTTTGACCTTCAAGAGAATTACTTGCAGTATCCTTATTTAAATTGGTTTTCCTAATATGTATTTCTTTCGCCTTAAGAGCAAACTTTATTTAGAAATCGTAAAAACGTTTTTCAAACATTTTGAAAAGGTTTTCTGGGGTTTTATGGTTGAACAACCTAATTAATTGTTTAGTTTGTGTATTTCTGCGCCTTGTTTCCGTATTTCCTGCTGTTTGTTCTGCTTGTTCGTGGTGTAACACTCGAAGGGGCTGGAGAAGGTGAGTCACTCAAAGGTAGTTATAGTATAAAGCTAAAAATAAAGCTCTCGGCGTTGATCAATCCCTGAGAGATGCGCCATGCATTCGATTTCATTAAGTATCGTCGGAGGTGATTGAATGCATATTGAGAATTTACAATGATTAGCATGGTCTTCCGATGTATCGAGCCAGTGTTGCTATCCTCTCAGAAAAGTCTGGTAGCAATTTGCCGATCCCGGAGAGATGGAAAGTTTGGTGGGACATGGGCGCGGGGATCGATTCCATGTGTGTATCGCAGTGCCGCCTCCAACCACTGAGCCACGCAGGCCCTTAGTTATAGAATAATAGTGGAAAATTATTTTATATTATTTCGAAGGATTTTACTTGTGTTACTTTTTTGACGAGCAGACACAAGGATATTATTACACTATTTGCTCACAACTGATTTTTCGGCGGTTTCACTTTCGGAATCTGGAAAGGTTAAATTGGCACACAGTTTACTCAATCAAACACTTTTATCACCTCAGAAGATAAAGCATGGTACATAAATTTTCCTTTACATAGTAAGCAGCTTTTTTAAGCACCCACTGTTTTGTTCCTTGTAAATCTTCCTGCTATTTGTTGGGGAGTCACGTGGAGCATTACTTGAGTTAGAGATGTGCCTAACTGAGGTCAAAAACCGGCAGGTGCTGTGTGGCGAGCTGACGCATGATCACGTGGTCCTCCGACCGCCGCCATTCATTCTTGGTTCTCACGAAGATGTACCATCTCACGAATAATCGAATGATCTGGATCTGTAAATAACGTGTGTCTTTAACAACGCGTACGTGATGGAGTCCTTCGACGTTACCGCTCTTTTATAGTAACGCATCGAATGACCCTGCAATGCAAGCCATCCGGCAGCTCCTTGTGCAAACACAAAGAGGGAATGAACATCTATGGTTTCTCAGTTCAGCAGTTGATGGGCATCTTAAAGGAAAGCCTACTAAGCTGCTCAATCTTTAGTTGGTCTAGGAAGTATTCCGCATAAATGAGAAGGTTGGCAACGGGAGGTGGAGGATTGGCATCAAGCCTTGCCACTACCTCTCTGTCTAAAGCAGAAGCACCGGAAATAGATCACCAGAGCTCTATTATCCACGCATAGAGCTAAAAGGAATAAAGCGAAATATTTTGAAGCATAAATCACTATCCTCGCAAAGGAATCTAAAACATCCGCTCATAGAGCTTGTTTTAGAATGCATAGATTGGATTCGATTGGGTTAATCCCAAAGGTACAAAAACGAACCGCAGGAAGGAGTGCTATGTGATCACGCGTGACCTCGCACCATACCTCAGCCTGATTTTTTACCTGAACCAAGAACATTCCTCACTAACGCAAGACTCTATACCTGTGCTCTCCACCAGATAACTGCAAAACTTACAATGAACAGAAGAGTAAGTGCTTAGAATGAAGCCCTTTATTATACTAAGAAAATTTATGTATTGAGTTTTTCTCGTTGGGTTACAATAGTGTTTGGCTGAGTAGATTGCACGTCAATTAAGCCCTTCTAGGCTCTGAAGAAGGCGAAGCCGTCGAAAAGTCAGCTATTGTAAATAAATAATGTGATGAAAATCCTTTGTTTACTCATAAAGAGAACAGTCAATTATTGACAAACTCGAGACCAATACAAATTTTGTTCTGGGATTTGCTACTTTGCAGTGTATTTGAAATAAAAGCGAATGCAAATGCCGTTCTAAGATACTGAAATATAGTTACTTCACATACCTTATTCCAGTGAGTAGGATAGAACTCCCGAAACATATTCGTTTTGCTTTTTTAATCGCCTTCTTATAACCAGCAAGCCTTGTCGGATGGATTTTCACTAAGATCCAGGTTTAGCACATCTCAGGTATTTACTATTATCTGAAGCCTAACATGACTCGTCTGTCCGACACCACAGTTTGGAAAGACGCTGGAACACAGGTGAGCAACCTTTTAGCTCCATTGAATATATAGGAGTGAGTGAAATGCTTCGCACTTACAAAAAAAACAAAAAAATTTGCTTAGGTGTTCTATTCATATGGTGTCGGCTTTGGCGCTCTAATCGCACTAGGATCTCACAATAAATTCAACCACAACTGTTTCAGGTGCGGTAGTCTGGTAGTGTAAATTCAGGTGTCTGTACACATTAAAGTGTCGGGTAGCACAGTAACAGTAATGCCATTGAATACGCACAAAGCCCTGGTTCGACCCCACATGGCCCCAATTTATGCTAATTTGGAAAGTTGCAACTAACTTGTCCAGAATGGGCTATCTGCCTCCAATCCGCAAAAATTGGGAACTGATTTTGATGAAGACATGAGGATGTCGTAATATGGCGTTCCAGTGAGTCGATGGAAATTCTACCCGCATTCAAAGAGGTTCATAAAGAAAGCAAAAAGCCTCTTTGGATCAAACACAAACCTCAAAAACCTTCGTAGATGGCAACTGCAAGGATACAAATTGAATGAAGGAAGTGCTCGGATTTGCGCGACATGTAATATCGGATAATGTAAAACGAATAAGAGATATCACTGTCACTGTTTTATATGCAAGCTCAAATTTATCTCTCGAGATCTTGTTGCTATTTAGGAGTGGTTTAAGGCTAAATCGACGTTAGCACTTTAATTTGCTTTGCACGGCTTTGTTTTTTCAACAGAAGTTAGGGCATGGTTCCTAAACAGAGCCACTGAAAGGCTTAGTTTTCTTCTACCTATGATGAAATACAATTAGCAGTCGATTTCTGATAGTTCTTCTTTTGCTTTTTCAACAAAAGAAAAAATGAAGCAACGAGATCTGCCAGTTACCGCCTGTTTTTCGAATAACAGTTGCCGGTGTAATTATTGAAGGAACTTTTTTCCTTAAGTTTACACAAATCTGTAGATGTTATTTTGTTCTGTTTTACACTTTATTTGCATTGCCGAACATCACTTGCGGTGCAAATTCCAGAAGATTTCTCATTCAGTTGTCTCGGCTCCGTCATCCGTGAAGGTCCTTTCGAGTGAATTTGACTACCGATAGAGGATATAGACTTCTTTACGAATATCGTTTAATTGTGGTAGAGTAGACTCCTCTTGGAGTCGTGAGACAGCTCCACTAGAGCGCTCCCAAGTTATTGCCACAACCAGTTGCCCTACCTTTATTTATGGGAGGGAGAGATTTTTTCAAGCAAGACAAACGTGGCTCTAATTTGACCACCTTATAGGGATGAAAAGATTTGTTGGCCCAAGGTGTGGTCAAATCAGCAGGCTTTTGCGTATTGTCAAACAACGACACCTCTACTTCTGCACTTCCCGAACTATCAGTGTGATATTTGCTAATAATAGAATCGAACTTTTTTCAACAATTTCACGGTGACAGTGCGGATTCGATATTCAGAGACGGCTTAGTGATGTGCGTTATTAACGGCTCTACCTCAATTCTTGCCGGTTTTGTAGTTTTTTCCATTCTTGGATACATGTCATTCATTGCGCAAAAGGACATCGCTGAAATAGTGAAACCAGGTATAAACGACTTTTTTAAAACAAGCAAGAAAAATGGGCCTATAAGCAGTTCTCATCTGAACAGCCACTTTTCCTGCCTAGATTTCTCATATATTATCAAGACAGTAAAGATTTCTTCTTGCACTAGCTCGTTTCCTTGAGCGGAGAGCTACTACCTAGTACAATTTTCACGGAAGGATATTATGTGAAACACAACCACAATGGCGCTGAGATATTTGCAAAACTCCGGACCGCAGGTGTCTGCAGTGGAGACCGAAAAAACTATTACCCTTTCCGGAAGCTAAAGCGTTTACAACCACACCATGCGGCTCCTTCGATTCACCTTTCTCTGAGCTAGTTTTCTATCTGCTAAGACCATCAGCAATCACCCGTTAGCGGAGCATATCTGGGGAGCACAAATCTGCGTTGTACCCGCTTGAGGTGAATAGGTAGTCGAAATCAAATTGTAAACTTGACAAAAATTCACAATCACAGAAGGTACAGCCTCAACTTAACTGGATTCAATGTCGATTTTTTCTCTGCAGGACAACCTTACTGAAGGGTGATTGTTGGTGGCAATCGTAGATAGAATTCTAGCTGAGAGCGGAACGGAAGAACCGGATGGTGTGGCAGTCAACGCGTTAGCCCATGGAAACGGTAGTGGTGTGTTCGATCCCACCACAGGCACTTGCAGAGCGGTTTTACAAATATCTCAGCACTATTGGTTCTGTATTTTTAGCTCATTTTTAAAGCAGTTGTTTTTCTATATTTTTTTTGAGCATATATGATGGTGTTATCAGCAAGATTTACTCGATTCTGGCTGACGATTCGGCGGTTTCGCCATGTTCAAGGCCTGGAAATGTCAAACTAATACGCAATCTTCGCAGCACAAACAGAAAAAATCCAGTACACCAACTTCACGTGCTAAACGGCCTTCTTTAAAACAATCACCCTGTTGTTCTGTATAAGTGTTGCAATTACTTGATGGAGACCAACCGCACAACGTATTACATGGATGATAAATGTGCCTGGCTTAATCAGATTTCTAGGATATATAAATTTCGTGGTTTGTCGTAGTGGCAAAGGTATTACGGTGACTTCGTATCTCTTCAATCAGCTATGTGGAGCATTGAGGTTGCAACTGCTCGAACCCCAAATTTGGGCAGTAAAATTTTTATAAAATGAAGAAACTAATGCAACAATAATAAGATAGAGATGATAAAACTGTACATGAGTATATGAGGATTAAAGAGTAACATTATTATAACGAGGACTATGAGTCCCTATCATTGACGTTAGTCACGTTTGTGTTAGACATGAGAGAATGAGAAGAAAAGATCATGCAGAACACAAGCGATTTCACAAGCTGATGGAAACTTCGTCATAACATCGGCATATATTTGTGCAGTGAACACGATATTTTCTCAACGCGTGTGCAGATGTTGAAGTTCAAGGATACGTCATTGAAATCAGCAGCCAGCAGCAGTACAGCAGGAATATCACAACGATATTGCTAAACCCTTTCATCTTGTGCTGGAAAAGATGGTAGTACTATGACACAAAGACTACTCTCTTTGAGATAGAGAACAGGTCTATATCTAATTGAGATTGGTATATGTTGACTTAATTGTTTCTTTGTACGCTCAAAATTGCGAGTAGAAAAAATCTGGCAGCAGATGTTTTTGAAAAGGCGCAATTGGAAATACATAGTTCCCAGGATCGACTTTCTATTAACTTCGGCATTGGAATATGAATGTGTCGTTTTCTTGTTCAGCAGTCACGAGGTTTTTAAACAGCATACATTTACTTTCATAGAAGAACACAATACAATACATCGCTAGCTGACGTTTCGGCAGTATCGCCTTCTTCAGAGCCTGGAAGGGTATACTGATATACAATCTACTAGGCCAAACGCTTCAATAACACTTACAAAAAGACGAAAAACTCTTTGGTAATTACATGATCAACAACTTCTCGAAAAAACCCATCGCTTTTTCGTGGCTTCCAATGAGGAAGATTAGAACAGCTGATTATAGTCGCATGTGGTTGACGACTGCACCATCCCACATCAAAAACCGATGTGAACATACGGGATCAGGTCGCGTATAACCTCCGGGCATTCGTCCCTGCTATTGGAGGGTTTTTGGAATTTATCCAAAACGCCTCAAGGAGTTTTCGCGCCGGTGTTTTGGACACCTGTGCAAGGATATGCGGTCAACCAGAGGACAGCCAAACGAGGCATCGAAATGGAACTACTTCAAGCTGCACTACGAAACAAGCAGAACGAGATGTTTGCCAGAATGAAGAAATGTGCAACGAAGGAACATTTTTGGGCTTTGTATTTGGAGGATCGCATTTGGAAGAGGATAGTTGGTGGGTCAATATTAATATGCGATTTTATTAGATCTAATGCCAAAATAACCTTGCAACGAAAATTCGAAAATCTTTTGGGTAATTCACACGTCTCAGCTTCAAGAAACAACCGCAAACGAATTCCTTACGTTTCTGCTAATAGTCAAAATGGGGTTGATAATGCACCAAGAAAATCTAGGGTCACCGTGATTGGGGGCACAACAATACCTGAGAATGCGCGCTCGCTATTAGAATTGGGCCCAAGTTTTGCACCATCACAGCCCATTTCTAAAACGACCCTGCGTAGGATAGCATGCAACCTTTATGAGCTTCAAGATCGACTTCGCTATCAGACCAAGCAAGAAACATCAAATAGAGATAAAAATCAAGAAGCGGCGACACTACCACCGTCTCCTTTCCCAAAAACGTTCTTTAGACAGCAGGATGCTAACGATGGAGTTGACATAAAATTTCGCGTGTTTTCGGACGGCGTTCTCAAGACCCTTGATCACTACCGCGACAGAAAGTTTATCTCTAACCTTACAGCCGCACAAAAATGTGGCATGCGGAAAATTAGAGAATTAATAAACTCGAAAACAATAAGATTGTCTGTTAGTGATAAGGTGGGAGAGTTCGCAGTTATCCCTCGCCAACTGGATGTTGAGAAAACAGAGGAACATCTTAGTGATGCTACTCTCTATCGCCCATCCTCTGAAAAGGAATATAAAAGTCAATACCGAAAACTAAGCAATCAATGGGTCAGCGTGGCAAAGGCTGCGGGTTTAAAATCATCGGTTATTTCGCACTTTAAAATCGATAGACCAACATGTCCCGTCCTATACCTACTTATTAAAACACATAAGTTGGTATCACCTGATGATCATGCGTCAAGCAATCCGTCATCATTTAAGGTTAGACCGATCATCAGCTGTGTAGACGGGCCAACGGATAGAATAACCTGGTTTTCAAGCCTGATACTTACCCAGTTGCTTAACCACATTCCA